CTAATATATTATTATACTTAATTCCAATTTGGATATCTAAAAATATTTTAACTAATCAGGATTCAATAATTTATATCCGAATATCTGGTGATGGAAGAAATGTTGGACATAAAGTAAAACAACTGATAATAACATTTACTATTCTAAATAATCATAATAATATATATCAATCTGATAATCATTATACTTTAGTATTATTTCCAGGAACTAAAAATTATAAAACACTAGAAGTTAGTTTAACACTATTATGTCAAGATCTTATACAATTAAAAAATAATGGAATTAATGATACTTCTGGAAAGCACTGGAATGTAGAATTATACTTTAGTGCTGATTGGAAGTTTTTAGCAATTTTTCTTGGTTTTAATGTTGCTAATTCAAATTTTTTTTGTCCTTAGTGTGATTGTTCATGAAAAGATCTTGGTAATAAAGAAAAAAACTGGACAATCAATAAAAATATAGAACAAATTATTGCAAAACTAAATACTTTTCCTGATCATAAAAATTGTCATTATTTCCAATGATTCCAATAACACATTAGGTAGTTGATAAATTACACATTTTATTATGAATTTATGATCATCTTTGGGGACTAGCATTTCAAGAATATAAATGAAATGAAAATTTTACTAATAAAATAAGAGCAAATATATGTAATGAAATGCATAATATTGGTATAATTTTCCACTTTTGGCAAGATGCTGAATCAAAAAATTGAAATTATACTGCATTAATAGGTGATGAAAAGTTACTTGTTTTAAAAAATTTTAATTTAACAATTATGTTACCTTATATACATGCTAAACAAGTATATAATCTTTGGACAAATTTTTATTATCTATATAAAATTCTTAAAAATCCTTCAACAAATTCAGAAACATTTGCAAATGATGCAAAAATATGGTTTAATCAATTTTTAAAACCATCTGATAGTCAAAATTGAGGTCTTTATAGACCAGCTGATGTAACTCCATATATATATGTTTTAGTATTTCATGTTCCAGAGTTTATGCGTATTTATCAAAGATTTGGATTAAGTGCTTTTTCCTACAGTGGCATTGAAAAAAAAATCATAAACAAGTCTTATTTTTTTTCAAAAACAATGAAGGATGGTGGCAAAACACAAACAAAATACTTAGCAATTCAAGAAATTCTCTTATGTGAAAATCGATTTTTATATTTTTAGAAACATAATGTTACTATGATACGTCAATCAAAAAGACTTTATTATAAAACAGAATCTGAAGAATAATAATAACAATTTATTAATTTTAATATTAATAGAAAGGCAAATTATTTATAGCAAATTAAGAATATATATTACAATACCATAATTTGAAAGTTATATAGCATAATTTATTTCTAATCTAAATAAAATTTATCTTTAATTATTTACTATATAATATTCTTGATCTAAGCGAAATCTAATTCTTAATTCTTCACCTGATGTTTCATGCCTTCTTGCATCTTTAATATTTTCTTGAAACCATTCAATAGTCATCTCCGGTGATATAATTGTAATATGCAATTGATCTAAATTTTCATTTTCTCACAAATATAACTAAACAAAGTTTTTTTGATTAGTTTCATAATATTATGTTCCCTATTGTTTATCACCAAGTAATTGTTCTAATATAGTCTCTGCCTCATAATCTTTAAAAATACACTGATAAGAATATTTTGCTTGTGAAAATCAATTTAAGTATTTACCAAATACTGCTACAAATTTATTATCAGTACATGGAAATTTTATAAGTTGTTTGCCAGATTTAGTATAATGAAGAGGAAGTCGTTTATATATTTTATTCACTAATAATTTTTTAAATTGTTCAATATGTTGCATAGGCAAGAGAATTATATCTGCAGGAAGTTGATTGTAAGATGCATGAACTAAATTTTCATGACAAATAAGACCTCTAAATGTCTTAAATCACTTTTTGCTACAAATAGTACACAGATATTGACATTGAATTGGTTATTTTGTCATTATAAATTGACTAAATTTGACTTAATAAAATTAATTAATTTATGTTAATTATGTTTTTTCATATAGCAGATAGTATTTATTTCTCTATATCATATTAATAAATACCTTATATTAGAATAGGTATGTGTGGTATAATATTATGCCAAATTTAGTCTAATGGTTGAATTTTAATAATACCAAAGGTTTTATTTTTCTTATATTAGTCATTCGAATGGCTTGTCTACATGATATTATAATGATAGATAACTATAACGATTTTAATTAATATCAGTGTTAAAGTTTAAGTTAATAGCTAATATGTATAATTATAAAATTTGGGTATATAAGTTAATTAATAAGACGCAGCATAACATTTATTACTATAATAAATTTGGGTTTATATGCATAATTCTTTGAAAAAACCTGTTGGTTTTCTATCATGATGCATAATTCTTTGAAAAAACCTATTGGTTTTTTATCACTATTGAAATCAGGCAAAAAGGTAAGTTAGTCACTCCATGATCCAAAATCTCGTGGAACCTATAGTTAGCTTAGTTGAAAAGAGGCGTTTAGATTTGGTGATAATTTGGGTCTGTAGGTAAGTATTCTTTTCTCTTGTTTTGTCTCTTGATTTTTCTTTCTTTAGCTTTTTACTAATTTTAACCTCAATTACCTTACTACTTCAGGTAATTGAACAACACATATAACCATACTATTCTCAGTTTTTCAGGATAGTGGAACAATATAACCATGGCTGATCCTGATACTTCAGGATACAACAGCTGGATGGGAATGTAATAATACTACAGGATAGGACAGATAATTGCAAAAATCAGGTTTTTATGATTTGGAGATTTAGCGATTAGTTAATGTAGCAAAAAAGACGTTTATGTATTTATTATTATGTAAGAAGTCAGATATTATTTTAATAAAGTGAAGTTCAGAAGAAGTCTCTTCTCTTTTTCTAGGGCCTTTATGACTTTTATTTATCTTAAAATTCTTTAATTACATTTGTTATTCTACATCTTCTACAACTACTACGTCTACTACATTTACTACTTCTTTTCCACTTCTACTTTCCTGATATGGCCTTCGTGCCCTACATAGCATAGTAACCTATATAATTTGGAGTAGCCATAGTTACATGCCATGTGACTTTTCCGGATAACACTATACATAATTCTTTATCAATATACATAATTCTTTTAAAAAACCCATTGGTTTTCTATCACTATACATAATTCTTTGAAAAAAAACCATTGGTTTTATGATTGGCCTATTGGTTTGATGGGCTTTTAAATAGTAAAAAAAAACAAAAAACTATTGGTTTTAGAGTAAGTCTATTGGTTTGACAGGCTTTTAACATATAAGAACATAGTGTTTTAAAAAGGCCCAAAAAACCAAATTGGCCAATATGATTAAGTAGCACAAATGTAGTTTGAAATCTTTAATATAGAAATCCTCTTCTATGTACTTACAAAGTTTCTACTCTAATATTATATAAACATAAAAAACATATAAAATCTTTATATAAAATATAAAATACATATAATATATGTATTCTAATTTAATATATAAATATTTTTAGCAATGTATTATTATTTATAGATAATAATTTAAAGAAATTTTGAAAAAAATAGTAAAATTAATCTAGATTACAAAAAATACAGAATTTAATATTAACAAAAATGGTTGTTAAATAATTATCAAATTAGAATATATATTATAAAAAATATAAAAATCCAGATCTAGCAAAGATTTATCTAATTAAAAGTTAATTTAAATAAATATTTCAAATTATTTTAATATAATTTACTAATAATTATAAAATATAAAAATTCTCTTTTTATATTTGCACTATTATTTTTAATTATTTGAATTTTGGTTGCTAATTCTATAATTATAACTGTATATATATATACAAAAAATTAGGTTAAATATAAACAATTCTTTAATTTTATTATAAACTCTTTAAAAAGTTTAAAAATTTTTATATGTTTCTGAAAAAAAATAAAATTTTTATATGTTTCTGAAAAAAATTCTATTAATTAAAGTTAAAATTTTGATTATAAAATTAACAAAGCCGTTTATAATAACTTAATACTAAAATTATAAAATACATATTTTTAGAATTTTTTAATTTTTTTAACTTATAGTCAATTTAATTTTTTTTTATAAAAATATAATCTATATTAATAATTAATATTTAAGAACCTAAAATAACTTATTTTTAATAAAAATAAATCAAAAGCAAAATTTAAAAATTTCTTAAAAATTTAGGCAGGCAAAATTGCTTGCCTAACTGGATGGTTTAAGAAATAAATAATATAAGTTATAATTATAAATTCAGATAAGAATTAGACCGTTTTGATAAGTTTGTGATACAATATATATATAAATAAAAATATGGTAAAATGTAAATTACAATCATATAGAATAAAGCTACTAGTAAGAGATGTTATCTTTAAAAAAAATTATGATCATGTAATAATTCAAAATCTCTAATTGGAAATATTATTAAAAATGATTACTTCACTAACACTCATTTTATAGACATAATATTTAACCAAACTCAATTCACCAACTTTTTATTTCACCCCATGTTTTGCTGACAGGATCATTTCACTGACACTCAATTTACTAACAAGTTTTTTCATAAATTCTACTAAACTTAACTTTAATTCTAACCTAGCCCTAACGACAATGAAGAGTTATTTGTCAGTAAATAAGCTTTGGTGAAATAAACTGTCAATGAAATGAACTTGCTAGTAAAATAAGTGTCGGCAGTGTTGGCATTGAACATATGCACAATAATTTTGAAACCAATTGGACATATAAAATTTTCTATGTCCAATGTTGTTCAAAATTATTGAACTTATGTCCAATGCAACACTGAGTGACGGTGAACAAGAATGTCAGTGAGTTGAGTTAGGTGTTACGTCTACAAAATGAGTATCGGTAAAGTGAGCCGCACCAACAAAAAATACCTTATTAAAATATAACGAATAAAAATTTTTTATGAGAAACGCTAAGTTCATTTACGAGTAAACCCATGGCTAATTCATGGACTTTTCTATGGATTAACGCACTCTTACCTAGATTGTTAAAACTTAACACAAGCCACCCACTTATTTATGAATGATTCAGGCCCTGTCCAATCACTAAACCATTATTATTCTTTTTTTTTGTCCTTTTGAATCTCATTTGATTGGCCGATCAATACATGAAAATACATGAAAATACATGACACCGTGTAACATCGTACATTCCTCTTGGATGCGCCAGGTTGTACATTACTGTTTTAATCGATCAATGTAACGGTAATTTGCGGATATGTTCATAAAATCTGTTCTATGTCTCTAATGCCATCCAGACAGTTAGGCTAAATAAAAAAATCCAACCGCAATAGTGTTAGAAAAAATCTTCATTCGTGTAACTTAGCAACATTGTACACAACGTATGTCGTACGTAAGTACATACATACTACTTTAGTACGTACGTACGCACGTAAATTTAATTATTCAAAACTATTACGTATTGTATTTATATTGTACAAACTTTTCTAAGAGTTGTTTTTTTACATTCGAATGTCTAATAAACATTCACCAAATATTTGCAATGACTTGTATGAAAAATTCTCGGAAAAACCGGACACTTTGTTAAATGAAGATATTATTCAAGATTCGAAAAATCGAGTAATTAACATCTTAGAGTCACCTCAATTGCTCTCGTATAAAGTTAATAATTCATCGCAAGATTTCATAAATGAAACTATTAAGCAATTATGTAATTTATATATAGAAGAAGAAAAAAAAGGAAATTATGACACATCAATCCTTAGTTCAATAGAACAATATCTGATAAGTAAGCAACAAAATCCTGCCAATGTAATAGAATGGTGTTTAAATAATCAAAACCATTATATTATACAAAATATACTTGGATATTGTTATCTGCTTGGAAGATGGGTCGAAACTGACAAACGTAAAGCATTCATTTGTTATCAAAAATCTGCAGAGTTGGGAAGTTCAACTGGAATACATAATGTTGGATGTTGCTATCTGTTTGAAATTGGTGTTGAAATGGACAAATACAAAGCTTACACTTACTATCAAAAATCTGCCGAAATGGGAAATCCGTATGGAATGAATAGTCTTGGAAACTGCTATCAAAGCGGAATAGGTGTTGAAAAAGATGAACATAAGGCATTCATTTGTTATAAAAAATCCGCCGAAATGGTACATGCTCTTGGAATATATAACATTGGCTATTGTTATCGAAATGGAATTGGTGTTGAAAAAGATGAGCACAAAGCATTCACATATTATCAAAAATCTGCTGATATGGGAAATTCTAATGGTATGAATTCTCTTGCATATTGTTATGAAAAAGGAATTGGTATCAGAAAGGACAAAAACAAAGCATTTATCCATTATAAAAAATCCGCAGATATTGGCCATACTGATGGAATAAATAATCTTGGATATTGTTATCAAAATGGAATTGGTGTTGAAAAGAATGAATATGTAGCTTTTACTTATTATAAAAAAGCGGCTGATATGGGAAATTCTAACGGAATGAACTCACTTGCATATTGCTATGAAAAAGGAATTGGTATTAAAAAAGACGAACGAATGGCATTCATTTATTATCAAAAATCGGCAAATATTGGGTATGCTGATGGATTAAATAATCTTGGGTATTGTTATCAAAATGGAATTGGTGTTGAAAAGGATGAACATAAAGCATTTATTTGTTACGAAAAATCTGCTGAAGTTGGTGATGCTAGCGGAATGTATAATGTTGGGCATTGTTATCACGATGGAATTGGAGTGGATAAAGATGAGCATAAGGCATTCACTTATTATCAAAAATCTGCAAATTTGGGAAACTCTAATGGAATGAATGAAGTGGGCTATTGCTATCGGAATGGAATTGGAATTGAAAGGGACGAATATAAAGCATTTAGTTATTATCAAAAGTCTGCTGATTTGGGAAATATTAGTGGGACATATAATCTTGGCTATTGCTATAAATATGGAATTGGAATTGAAATAGATAAAAGTAAAGCATTTACCTATTACAAAAAATCTGCTGAAATGGGAAACACTAGTGGAATTAAGGAACTTGCATATTGTTACCTTAATGGAATTGGAGTTGAAATGGATGAATATAAAGCATTTATCTATTTTAAAAAATCTTCAGAGATAGAGAATTATAAAAGAATTTCTTAGACTGATTACTTTATTAAACAAACCAGGTTATTAGCCAATTGAAAACAATACGTAGTATAATTTAATTGTTATTTTGTGAAACATATATAGCATACAGTTACATAGGCCAAGTTCAACTTATAACTCTGCATAGATTTTTTCGTGCGATCTAGTCTTGGTCCAAGGCAAATTGTAAATCATTTAGTCTGGATTAATACAAAGCTAAAAACACCAAAATACAAACAATAGCAATCTAAACTTATCAATAAAAAATGTCGTAATTTTAAAATTTACATAACTGACCATGTTTTTTATATAACCAAATTATAAAAAATAGCTATATTTTGAATTTGCTCATATGTTTTCAGATAATCGGACTCGCTAATAGTAATGCAAACATTTCATTTTACAGCTTATTTGCCAAGCTAAATTGATCCTTTGGCTTCATTAGAAGCCAAGTACTTTAGAATCTTTTAATATCAAGTTGATTTATTATACTCAGTGTTAATTTTTACGTTAAAATTTAGAGGGCGAATGCTGCACAATTTGGAAGCTGTTTCTGTGCGGCAAATAAAGAAAAGAAGCATCCGCACATCTGCTCAAAAGCAAATGTGCACACCGAAAAAAATCACAGAATATACTAATTAAGCATGATGGAGATCGTTTGATTGGTTGTCGATCCCGATGAACATGATTGGTTGATATATCATGACTTATAATACGTATTTTTTATATTAAAAGTCCTTTTTTAGATGATATAACAAAGTCCAGTTGTTCATATAATCAGAGATTTTTTTACTAATACGTTCTTCAGGTTTTAAGACACCTTTTAAAACATTGAAACTTTATGAATCAAATAGGAAAAGGTAGTTTACTTGGATGCAAATATTAAAAAAAATGTTAGTTTTTTAAACTCTGTTAACAAATCTCTTGGTTTTTTATACAACTAAAAGTTTTTTTATATTAATAGCGCATTTTTTTATTATCAAGGTACTTTTAATTCAAGTTAGATCAATTAATTCAATTATATATAAGGTGCAGATACTTCTTAAACTTAATGATTTTTGAAATAAGAAAACTAGAAATTATGTTTATATTATATTATTAATTTGTTGCTATCTTCTAATATAATTTGTTAATTTATTACTATTTTATTTTTTTACACATCTTTATGTTTTTTTAAATCTTATATTTTTTTTCAAATCTATTATTATTAAAAAGAACGTTAGTTTTTTTTAAGAATTGTTAAAAATAAATTAATCTTTATGTATATTTCGTTTTATAGTATTTTTTACAGTATTGACAATCATATTTTATTCTATTATAATAATGTTAATAAAGTCTATATTTACAAATCAACAAGGTTTTATTTTATTTTTGCTTAGTATTTTGTAATAATTATTACAAAATTTTAATAAATAAAACATTTTAATACTATAACCTATTAGTAAACATATAATATTAATATTTTATTTTAAATGATAAATTTATATTTTAAAAATCTTTTTTTTTATTTTTTTATTTTTATTACTTATTATATTCAAACATTTAATAAAATAATTTAATAAGAATATTAATTTTTATTTATTAAAAATTCTAAAATAAAAGCAATATATAGATATTATTTTTATATTAAATATTTTTTTAAATAATAAATATTTAGTTTTATTTATTTTTTTAAAAAAATAGTTATATTATTATTAGAGTTATTGTATTATTTTAATAAACTATATATATTTTTTTAATAATTCTCAGATTAATAACAATAAACTAAATTATAAAAAAATATTATAGTTAGATACAAAAAAATAATACTTCTATTTTTATATAAAGTAAATTGTTTAATAAAACCAAAATAGATTAAAACATTAAGAAACAGACATACTTGCAATAGTTTAAGCTTTTTTTTTGATAAATTTCTTTTTCTATTTAGTATTTAAATTAAAAGGTTTTTTTTAAGAACAATTATAAAAAACATAAGTTAGTGCTGTTAAAAACTTAAAAAAACTATTATAAAACTAGTAAAATTTTGAGAAAGAAGTTTAATAATAAAATATTCTATATTAATATTAATAATAAAAGTAGTATTATTAAATTTTGTTAGTTTTAAAATAGGTAAATAAATGTTGTTTTTTCTTTTTGTTGAGACAGTAATTCTTTATGCTAACTTCCATTTATGTTGTTTAATATTTTATGATTGCTAAATAGTAAAGTTGAACCAAATAAGCATTGAGTTTAATAATAAGATAAGAAAATTATTAGTTAATTTTTTAAGAGTAAGCTGTAGTTGTTTGTAATAATCTAGAGTTAATGTACTCTAAATAAGTAATAATAGTATATTATTTGTATTATATTTTAAAGAAGGGTTATATAAATTGAAAATTTGTATTATTGTATATAGTAATGTTTTTAATAAGTTTAAAGTATTTATTATTTTGTTGATAAAAATGTTATCTGGATTGCATAAATAAAGAGAACATTTCAATAGATATTTAGTATTTTATATTAGTTACAATATAAACAGTTTAAAGTTAAGTAGAGCATAGAATAATAAGTATTTAAATTAGACATTGTTGTAAGTTGTTAAGTAGTATTTTGTTTCTAAAAGAGTATAGATTTAGATTAAAGTTTTGAGAATTAATAATCTTAGTTAGTAGTTGAATATTTATAGTAGGAAGATTATTTAATAGTTTAAGTTAAAGAAATTTGTTAAATATTTGAATTAAGAATAAGTTTTTACAAAATTTATATAATTTGTATATAATTGGAATTTGGTTTCAAGTAAAAAATTAAGAAAGATAAAGGTAATTAAAATTAAGTTTGAGCTCAGTTTTGTTAGCTTTGTGTTTAGCTAGAGCATTAGCTATATTATGTAAAGTATTATTTAAATAGAATTTAATCATATATATAGTATAATTGATATTCTTATATTTAGTTAAAAAGTTTAGAATATGAATAATGTTCTAATTATTTTGTTTAGTTTGTAAGTTGTAGTTTTAAAATATTGAATATATAAGAGTTTGAATAATAGATAAACTATTGAGATAAATATGAATTTGGTAATTAGAAGATAAAATAAGAAAGAGAAAAATAAGAGCTGCAAGTTCTGCTCTTGTAGAGTTTAGTGTATAGAATATAGATGCATTAAATTTGATTTGTATATCATTTTTAAGTATTCAAGCAATACTAATAAAGATGTTATATATTTGTGAGTTTATTATTAAGGCATCAGTTTAGAAGTGAAGATTGTTTGAGTCAATATATAGTATTTTTTTGTGTAGATCTATAAGTTGATTTTGATATATAGAAGTAGATATTGTGTTTTAAATTAAAAGAATTTTCGAAAAGAATAGTAAGAGTATTAAAAGAGTTTACAGAACAGGCTTATATAGTTCTGTATATATGTTTTGAAGTGCTTGAATTTCTTGAGTATTAATATATAGTCCAAGATAGTGTTTTTTTTTGTGTTTTGCATTTAAAATTGATAGTTTGTTTGTAATTAAATTAAAAAGTTGTAAATATTAAAGAAATATAAATTATGTTAAGTGTTGATATAATAATTTGATATTTTAAAAGTTTATTTTGAAATTAAGTATGTTTATTATTTTGCTAATATGCCAATTTTCAGATGAGATATAGAGTGTTCATATGTTTTTAAGATTGTTGTATTAAGGTGTAATTAGAATAAATATGTTTAAGAATAAGTTGATTGGTTTAAGTTAAAGATTAGACTATATATGTTAAATAGGAGAAGATATTTTATTTGAAAGTATTTTAAACCAGTTTGGAATAAAACCTCAGAAATATTTATGAGTTTTAAAAAAGATATTTTTTCAAAGAAGTAGGTTGTAATTATTAGCTGTAAATAGTTGTTTAAGAAAAAAGATTTTATTGTTTTTAAGACTTAATATTGTTAAATTATCTGGAAATAAAATAAAATTGAAAATATTGTTTAATTAGTTAGTTTGTTTATAGGTTGTTAATTAGTAGAATAGTAAGTTGTTAAAAAAAATATTATTTTTGTATAGATAAAGTAGTTAAGATATTATAGTAAAGTTAGAGGTTTTTCTATAATTTTTAATTATTGTATCTTGGGTTAAAAATGATTTCTATATTTTAAAAAGCCATTCTTTGATTTGATGTATAGAAATTTAATTTAAAAGTATATTGATATTGAAGTATCTTTCTATATTACTGCTGCTAATTTGTAATATAAGTTTGTTAAGCATTAAAATATTAAGTAATTGTAGGTTAATGAATATGTTATTATTTGTGTTTGTAGATAAACAAAGTATATGTTTAGTATATTTTTTTAATATGCTTAATAGTTGTTAAAGTTTGTTTTAAGAAAAGAAACAGATTTGAAGTAAGTATTCTAAAAATAGTAATAGAATAATATTAAATAATTATAATAATTGTATAGGAAGAAGTTTTTTGTATTGAATAATATGAATAAATTAGAAAGTTTTGTTAAAGATTTTGTCAAATGTAGGTTTAATTAAACCTTTTTCTATCTAGAAAAATTCCTAGATATTTGATTGTTTTATTAGATTGGCAGGGCATAATTTGTTAATTATTAAAGATAAGTAATAGAAGATTTGAAGAAATATTGTAAAATGTTTTTTTGTTAGATAGGATATGAATAAGATCAGATTTTGATATATTGACTTAAATATTGTTTAGTTGATAGAGGTCAGATATATCATCTAAAATATTTTGGAGATCATTTCTGAATTTAAAATGTCATACTGTATTATCTATAAAAGCAAAAAGTATATTGTTAAGAAAGTTGGTAATGTTGAAAAGATTGTTTCTAAAAAAATTTGTAATGGGATTTTAAGAAGTTTTAAGTTGTATTTAGAGTTTATATAGCTGAGAATTAGGTCATAATAGGTTTTTTAAAGTAATAAAAAATAGGTTTCTCTTTGTTCAATGCATGAATATAATGTAATTGCATTTGTAAAACCATAGGCTGTAATTGTTCTGGGTTTTCTGTATTGATAAAGAAATTCAATTAGTTTAGATCAAGTTGTGAAATACCTATATGTTTGCATACATTTAGTAATTATTTAATATTAATTTTATTAAAGGCTTTGAACATATCTTAAAAAAGTATTCATATTTCTTTATTATTAATTTTGTAATATTTGATTGTGTTGAACAATATTTGGATAAGAATATGGTTTAAATTGTTTTTAGTTATTGTAAAGTTTAAATTGCTTAGAAGTTTGTGTTATATAATAATTTGG